CAGGTTTGCTTATAGTCTAGGAAAGTGGAGATAGCATCCTGTATAACAAAGATAGTCTCTTTGTGGCTTAAGGTAGGCATGCTTACTTGTCATTATAAAAGACTCAGGTCCTTACGCTCAGGGTTCCTCTCCAGTAATGCCACTCACTGTGTATATAGGTGTCACCTGGCCCTCTGCATCACCCTGTGGGAATTGGGCTTCAGGGAGCTGACACAAGAAAATACTGATATTCAGGCTACTGCTGTTGCTGTAGTGATACAGTCCTTTTGTCTCTGACTCAGGAGTCTCACATTTTCTACCTGCATTCATGAAACTGTGGCAAGCTAACTTGTTACCTTGAAAATACGGTAAAAATCTCAGACCCTTTACAGTTCTTGATACCCTAGTGTGCCCTGTCTGAATTCAGGAAGCATCCAGAATCCAGGAGCATAATCAGATGGTTTTGGTTTATGGCGTAAGCTTGAGGTGGCTCCTTATACAGATACAGACAGATACAAATGTAATCAAGACTGATTTCTTTTCTTCGGGGATCCTCCAGTCTAGGAGGAAAAATGAGGCATGATGTATATAGAAATGGTAGGCAGGGGGCCGGGCGCAGTGGCTCACGCCTGTAATCCCAGAACTTTGGTAGGCCGAGGCGGGTGGATCGCGAGGTCAAGAGATCGAGACCATCCTGGTTAACATGGTGAAACCCCGTCTCTACCAAAAATACAAAAAAATCAGCTGGGCATGGTGGCACGTGCCTGTAATCCCAGCTACTCAGGAGGCTGAGGCAGGAGAATTGCCTGAACCCAGGAGACAGAGGTTGCGGTGAGCCAAGATTGCGCCATTGCACTCCAGCCTGGGTAACAAGAGCAAAACTCCATTTCAAAAAGAAAAGAAAAGAAAAGAAAAGAAAAGAAATAGTAGGCAGGGACAGCATATGCAGGGTATCCTGGATGGGCCAGGACAGACACTCAGATGTTCATTCCAAGTGTTCATTCATGCCTGCTGATTTTCTCATAGCAGCTGAGGAGACTCCAGGGAAAAGATCACTGAGATTCGGCATATATAAACATATCTGATGCACGAGGATGGCCTGATGGAGACTGAGGACATAGAGGTTTGGGACACAGTGTGGAAGCTGAGGCCCAGCCAGCCTGGTGTTGTGTTTGCTGCTGGGGGAAGGGGTTGCATGTATGGATCCAAAGAGCTCCATCTCTGAAGACTGGGATCCTTTGGTACCCAAGCACCGTTGCTTATGGGGCACTCCCAACTGAGGGTAGCACACAGATAGGGAGGAGCTGTCTCATTTTACAAAAATTCTGGTGACTGAGGTCAGGAACCAGTATCCAGAGATAAAGGGCCTGGGGGCATCAGGGTTCCAGGGTCAGTAGGAGCCTGATGTGCAGAGTTGGCAGGACTGTGACTATAGATGGCTACTGGAGGCATCAGTGGATTTGCAGCTTCACTGGTGGTGAAGAGGCAGTGCTGTGACAAAGGAGGGGACCGCCAGCTCAGAGAAACAGCCTGCCAGACCACAGGAACCTGGACCTGCAGCCTTGGTGGTAAATGCAAGAGCATCATCCCTAAGCAGTCAGCATAGGATGGCTTATGTTGTGGTCTCCAAAAACCCCCAAATCAAAGTGGCTTAAAACAATACAAACCTCCTTGCAGGTCAGTAGGGAGCTGGGATGGGGCAGGGAATGCTTTGCCTCACAGTGGTCGCTCAGGAACCCAGGCTGATGCAGTCTCCATCTTCTCCTGCTACTCTCTCCTCATGAGGCCCAGGACTCACTGTCTCAGGTGAGAAGGGAGTCTGTAGAATTGTGCACCTGCTCTTAAATTCTTCCACCAGGAAGCAGCATGTGTCCTCTCATTTCATTGGCCAAAACAAGTCAAACGGCATGGGTTATGTCAAAGGGTGGAGGACACAGTGTAATCCTATCGCATGCCTGAAAGGAAGGGCAGGCGGGATATAGTCTTCCTAACTGCTACCATAGTACTGCTTGGATGAGCTGAGGCCACCTTGCTGGAAGATTCCTTTTGAATAGGACAAAGAGGATACACTCATTGCAAGTTCTCTTTATAAGCTTGGCTCACAGCTCACCTGATGGGACTTGGCCACAGCTACAGATACCTCTGCCCAAACAGAGCTCTTTAAGCTTTTGGCGGCCAGCCCCCTGCCATGCTGTTGTAGTCTTGTGTAGGAGAAAGAGCTGAGAAACAAGCCATGCAACGTTTCTCCCGACCTGTGATCCTGAGCAAAGCATTTCCTGTTCTGTTCTCTTTCAATATGTCTGATTATTTCCAGGAAGAAAATTGTAGACTGGGGCCACTAGGTCCCCCGTGTCTTTCTAATACTTGTTAACCTCTCTTTGTAACATGGAAAAAACAGATTTGTATCTCAGATGCGGGTAATCGTATTTTTTTCTTGTAATGTTCATTTTTATAATTATCATCTATTTGAAACAAGAGATACTAGTTTTCAATCTACTTTTTGATGTGTTTCTTTTGAAATATAGTTATTTAAACTTTCAAAAACAGAATTAGCTCACAAAAAGCTTTAAGAAAATTATAGTACTTGTTGAAAGAGAATTCTCATTCAACAGGTACTATGCTGTTTAACAAAAAAGTCTGACTTGCGACCATAGACTACCCAGATGAAATCCTGCTTGTGTGTGCATAAAAATAATTGAGAGAAAGGCACCACACATTGATCTAGCAGTCAATTATTTATCATTCCCTTAAGGTGATAGGAGCACTGCCATTTTAAGGACACCGATGTGCCCTTAAATGTGGCCAAAGAATGTGGAGGTGTTAAGAAATGACTGAGGTTTGGCAGAGAGGCGTCTAGTTAACACCTAATTTTTCCAGGGAGAAGACCACAGCAGGACAGGATTTGAACTCAGGCAGTCTGGGTTCCGAGTCTGTCTTCTGGATATTTAACCAGTACCTGCCAGCAGTATAGCCTTAAGCACAAGCAATGTGAAGTCTATGGGCCTCAGTTTTATCATCTGGAAAATGGGATAATACTGGTACTTATCTCAGAGAATTTATGTGAATATTAAATGAGTTCAAATATGCACAACTCTTAGAATAGCACTGATAACGTGACAGTAGTTATTTCTGTTCTCACCGTTACCTCTATCAGTGTCCACCTTGAGTGCACTTCTCCCCAGCTGCTTTCCTTTTGCAGATCAGGTCTGGGACTGAAGTTCACTAAAAAGAGGCATTTAAGTCTTGTGGTTTATTCTGTTTTTATTTACTGGGACAAATGTTTTCCTTGAAAATTAAGTAATTGAGTTAGGGATCATCAAACTAGGCCAAACTGGGTTTGGCCTTCCCTGCAATCAGTGACTTCAAAAGCAATTATTGCTTAAAAACAGGCAATGTAGCTGTTGGGCCCCTCCCCACTCCCCAATTCGCTCTATTTATTTCTTTGTTCAGTAATCTATTTCGCGTTCAGGTGGGAGTTGCTGACTGCCTGGCTGCAGCAGCTCCTCTCAATTAATCTGGGGGGAGCTGGAAGCAAAGGGGAGAATTAAGTACAGTAAACTAATTGCTGAGTCAGATGTGTGATGTCCCAGACCCAAGAGTATCCCGCGCAGAAGCAGAGACAGATACTGGAGCTGGTGCCCAGGAGCATGTCAATCACAAGGGGATTGGCGGTCTGCAAGAACAGCTCACAGAGAGTGCCTGGCCTCCCTCATCCTCTCTTCGGACTCCAGGCTGAGATCAGACACAGTCTTTCAGGAGCCCGGGCTTCCACTGTTTTCCGCACAAAATCATGTAATGGCTACAGGGCCTGGACTCCTGAGTTACCAAGTGTGGGGTTGAGTTCTGGATCATTAGCTGTACAATTCTTTTTTTTTTTAAGACAGGGTTTCACTATGTTGGCCAGGCTGGTCTTGAACTCCTGACCTCAGGCGATCCGCCTGCCTCGGCCTCCCAAAGTGCTGAGATTACAGGCATGAGCCACCACGCCCAGCCAGCTGTACAATTCTTAACAAGTGAGCGAATCTTCCTGAGCCCTAGTTTTGTCATCTGTAAAATGAGGATACTAGAATCTACCTTAAATATTTACTATAGAAATAAAATGAGATCACTAATATAAACTAGTCAGTAGAAGATAGCAATAGCCTCTGACCCCATTTTATGATGCTTCGTGTTCATGAGTGGCAGGCTATGAGAAATTGCAATAGGTTAATGAAATGACTATTCTTTCGTCCACTTTTGTCTTGGTCAAACACTCCTGCCCAAACCAAATTACCACCTTTTTTCCCCCTCACAGATTGCTTTTCTTTTCCCTTTTTGAGTGCTTTTTTTTTTTTCATTTTATAATATCGGTGCCCTTAAAATGGCAGTGCTGCTATAACCTAAGGAAATGATAAATAATTGACTGCTAGATCAATCTGTGGTGCATTTCTCTCAATTATTTTTAGTGCACACAAAAGCAGGATTTCATCTGGCTAGTCTATGGTCACAGGTCAGAATTTTTTGTTAAACAGCAAATCCATGTGATATGAATAAATGTTATTCATACAGAATCCAGAGTCTATATACAAGCAAATTTGGAAAACACCGGGTTGAGCAAAGTTTAAAAAAATTGCTTTAGGACCCTTCCAAGCCTTTCCTATGCTGATGTGTAAAAGAACAGCATAGGAGTCAGTGTTTCCCAAACTTGTTTGCCTATAGAACCCTTTCTGCCAAGTTGGAACACTTAGAAGGGCTGGTGCCTTCTCAAGCTTCTCAAACTTTACTGTGCACATGGATCCTTGGGGGTCTTGTTTAAATGCAGATGCACATTCGGGAGCTCTGGTATTGGACTGGACACTGCATTTGTGCCAAGCGCTCAAGGGATGCTGATGCTACTAATCTGAACACCACACTTGGAGAGTGAAGACCCTAAGGAGCTATCACATGCCACAGATGTTTGGGGAAATTCTCTTTACTGGGAAACAGCAGAAGAATCTAGTCTCAAATCAAACTGTGTTTGGGACAGTGGAAAGAACACTCACCAGGAGTTGGAACATCCAATTCTAGGTGAAACAGGAGAACTGGCCCAAGCTGGGTGAACTTGGAGAGGATATTTCTGTTCTTCAGACCTTGGTTCCCTCATCTGTAAACATGAGTAGGGGTTGCTGCAGTAGTTAATAGTAGCTAGCTCCATAAATGAAATGAAATTTTGTGCAATTAGCAAAATCTCCAGCACTAAACCAACACTAGTTAGAACATTATGCCACCTTCACATTGAAGCTAATACTTTGTGTTAGAATCACATTTATGGTTTCCACAACCCTCTTAGTTTTCCATACAATACATGGCTCGGCCATGTTGGCCCAGACTCCCCTGTCTCCCCTGCCCACCATTGCCTAGGTTGGGTTGAGCAGATGCAGGTTGTCCCACATACTGACAGACTGTCAGAGGCCTCTCAGAGACCCGTGCTAAGAAGAATGCTCTCAGGGCTCTATGGAAAATAGCTCCTTGGCCAATTAGCCATGTCTGCTATGGGTATTGGGAGGAACAGCATGTGCCACCCACTCTTGCTCCTCTGGGCCCAGCTCCCCACCTTGCTTATAATCACACAACTTTTATAAAATGATGGCAGCCTCCCTCCTCATGTCCAGCCCATACTTAAAATCCTTTCTTCAGAGCACAAAGCCAACAGGTAGCCATGCAAGTAGCTATTGACCATATTCTTCCCCGCCTTACCCACATTTCAGTCAGGTCTGGAGGCTCAGGCCTATGTTCTAGGACCAAAAGGGGTGACTGTCCTCTAGGGAGTCTTTAAGAGGTCCCCTGAGCCTTAGGTTTTCCTAGTCTCACAGATGTTTGATTGTGTCCAAACTAGTCTTATTGCCATTCTCTATTTTACTGGGGTTGAAAAGATCTTCAGATCACTTCCAACATGGGTAAAGCCATTGATGCCATGCTCAGTGCCCTCAGTCTTCAACTGCTTCTGCCCCAGCCCATGTTGCTCTAGTTCCAAAGGTTCCCACTGCAGTCCAGGCACCTTACCCCCACATCCAGCGAAGTGGTGCTACATTCTCTCACTCAGACCAGAAGCCTCTGCATCATCATGGATGCTTTCGTGTCCCTTGCTAACTCATACCTGGGCAATCCACATCCAGTTGCGCCATATTTGGAAATGACAGGTGCCCATGAGGCTAATGTACCTCACATCACCATTCTCAGATCCATAGAGATGAGCCTGGTGCCTGTGAACTGCCCCCTTACCTCCTCCTGGGGCCTGATTGATTGGCTCAGGGGTCAGCCTGACCCCAGCTGGACCAAGCAATGTCCCTTCCATGGGAGAAAGAGAAGGCTATACAAACTCAACAGCTTCCACCCCCACCTCTCCACTCCCTACACCCCACCTTCTCCCACCCCAGCACGTGGGGAGGCAGAGGAAGACAATCTGTAGATACAAAAAAAGAATGAAGAAGGTGAGGGAAGAAAGGAAAGAGGAGAGACAGAGAGCCCTGGCAGTAATATTCCACTGCCCAGGGTTCTGACAAACACCACTGTGCCTTAGTAATAAAGTCCCCATTCTGCTTAAATCAGCACATGGGTATTTCTGATTTAAGCAACTACAGAAATTCTAACCACAAGGTCCCACCCATTCTTCCCTAACGATATGGCTCAATCTGAGAGTTGGTTTCCCTCTCAACTGGCCCCATCCAGGCTACCACTCTTCACTTAGATGGTTTCAGTAGTAATCTAGTCATCTGGTTTGTCATTTGTATAAGATTATTGTTTTTCTAAAATTAATACAAAGGAGATAAACATGAAACATGAATGTCATTTTCCTACTCAAAGAGAGTCCCAATTCCCCATAGTCACATTCCTAACTCCTTTGCTCACTATTCGAAGCTCTTGTAGATTTCAAAAACATGACCAATAGTTATTACTCTTAAAGTAACAAAGGCGATACAGCAGATGTTGCAAATTGGCTCATTCAATGCTCATTCTAGCCCCTTCTAGTACCTTCCAATCCTGAAGAGGCTGGAAAGTCCAAGACTGCATTTCCCAGACTCCCTGCTTCTAGGGCTCTGGGTGCATTTAGTTTTCACCAATCAGTACCTATATGAGGATGGTTTGGAACTGAGTCAGATAGAGAGAAAGAGGCAAGGAGCATGTTTCCTCTCCTGCATTCAGAGATGAAAAGAATGACAGTTCTGGAAGCTTTCTCAGAAGACTAAGGAAATAGCCCATATCTTCTCCGTTCTCACTGGCCCAAATTAGACCATCTAACCATAATTGCATCCATTGCTATGGTGAGTGGATGATATTATATTGACTAGGCCTGAGGCAGAGGTGGCCCCACTCCTAGAGGCAAGAGTGGGGACATTTCCCTCAAAACGCATGTGAACCATATAGGAGAGGTGGACACTGAGATAAAATCCCAGATGATGACAAATAAAAGAAAGATGTTGGAATGGCAAATACAATGATTACCTCTTTTCACCTAGTCTAGGTCCCTCCAGGGTAAGAATCTAGTGCAGTAATCTTCCAAAATGTTCTCAGTAATCATTCATTATTCACACATCTCTGTTTCCACTGGGCTTAAAGTGACACTGACTAGCAGGTATCTGTCACTTTGTTTTCCTCTTTGGTTCAAATTGCCCCTCATCTGTGGGGGCTGTGAAGAGTGGACAGGGGCGATCTATTAAAGTGTCCATTAGAACCCATGTCTGTGAATTCCCTTCAGTGAGTAAAGCATCATCCATGTTTTCTAAGTTGGTGAGAGTCTAGGAGTTTCTGTCTTCAGTGGAATGAATGTTCCAAGCATATCTCATTATGACAGCAGCCCTGTGCCCTCACTGGAAAATAGAAGTGAATAGGCTCAAGCAGCTCCTACCCCGGGTAAGCTTGTACTTTGGTGAGGAAGAGAGTCATTTACCAAATAAATGCATGGCATTACTTATATGCTAATTACAAGTGTTCTGAGTGCCAGGAAGGAAAAGCAGAGTCACTGGAAACACCTTATGCCTCAGTCCTTCCCTGTAAATATCACACTTTGCTTCCTTGGCCCAGCTGCCCCCAACACATATCTACCTTGGGCGTCATTTCTGAGGCTGCATGGCCAAGGCCATAAATCTGTGCCCTTGTTTAGCGTGGCATGTCCTCTCCCTCTAATCCAATCTTCCCTCTGTGTGTTCTCGGCGCACGCTCATTTGGTTTGACAGCTATTTAATAAACCGATCTGCTTGCCTTTGACATGAGGCAGAAGTGGTGGGTGTTGAAGAGCTGCGAGGCCCTCGTGGACAAGGAAGCCCTTTCCCACTCAACACTCTTCCAGCTCAGTACAGATAAATTGTGGAGAACTGGAAATTAACCCAAGCTATCTTCTTTTCTTAAGGAAAAAAAATTACTGGAGACCCAAGAAGCAGAGCAAGTACTGTAAGTGAAAGAGATGGCAGAAGAAATCACATTTCCTGGCTCTGAGGGCAGGGGTGAACCCAGATCAGGAGCCTGGGAGCCTTCCTTCAATCTAGCTTTTATCACTTCAAAGCAGAAAGTCTTAAAGGAATGCCCTTTATGATGAATTCTGTCTTCAAAAACATGAAAGAAAAGGCATATTTTCTTAAGTCCAGTTGCTGGAAGCCAAGCGATTTCTCTGAGGTGCTTGGGCTGCAAATCTCTGTAATCAGGATGCAATTTGGTGTGGCAGAAACAGCACTGGTTCCACAATCAGCAGACCACGCTGGGATTCTGGCTGCCTCTCACAAGCTTACGGCTTTGGGTCATTTTTCTCAGCTCTCTGACCTTCAGTTTCCTTTATAAAATGGGCATGCCATTCACCTCACAGGTCATTAGGATTAGATGAGAAGGCGGACGGGAACATTCATGATACATAGTAGTTGCTCAAAGAATGGTAGCTAGTTTTCTTGTTTATTGATAGTACTAAAAAAAGCAAATCTGCTACCCGTTCCATCTCCAACTAACAATGTATCCCCGTTTTTTATTGGTGTGTCATATAGAATATGTTTACTTGCTTTCCATTTGCGTTGGTGGAGCCCGAGAATTATTTACTCTGTTTTCAGCCTTGATTTTAGGGTGCAATATCATTTCTCACTTTCTAATATCTCTTTAAACAAAAAAAATGGAAGATGTACAAGCCCCTTCTGGGTTATTTTTGAATAGGAAGTTTACACTATTGGGCTTAAAAGTATGCAATCTCCCCTGAGAGTGGATATGTCTATCTGGCTGGGCCAGAGTCAGAGCAGATATGGTTTCAAGACTAAATCTAGTTGGGTTTAACAGGTAAGACAGAGAAGAGCCAAGGGGTTTGAGTACAAGCTGTTCTTCATGGACCAAGAATGACTCAAGCTGGGAAGTGAAGTTTGGGTGGCAAAATGCAGAAGGAATGGTTATGCCAAATATCAAGTATGACAATTTCAATTACATGTTCAAGAACTGGGAAAATGATACAGGGGGTTCCAGGAGCTCGGTGAGCCTGCAGCAAACTGGACTAGGTTCAGGGCTCCAATTATTATTTTTCTCATATACTTGAATCTAACAGGTAGGCCAGGTAGGCTCCTGGGCATCAATGTCAACTCGCTAGGTCAAGATCTTAAGTTATCCAACAGTTTCTGAAATACCTATATATATTCTTTTTTCCTCATTGCATGGTTATCTGAGTAAGTAGCCAAAAGGAAGAAGTGGGACAATTACTATTGAGTGACTGGGAAAATTGCTGCTGAGTATGCATGCTGCAGCTTTGTGAAATTGTTCCTTTAAGGAACTTGGCCTATACTTCAGTCAATGGTTTCCATGTCTGAGAACAGCCAGGAATCTTGAATTTTCACTGGGGCTGCTGTCTATCGGCATCTGACCATTCATTCTTGACTTCTTTTGATTGTACATATTAAGCAATGCTTTTGTTTGTTGCCTGACTCTCAGCCCTAGGAGCACAGTATTCTGTCAACCACCTCCATCTCTCCATTGGTCTGTCCTCAAGGCTACCATTCTGCCTTTGCTGCTCATTGCAATCATTGTGCCCACTTTGCTTGTGATGGTTAAGTGCTGCCACCCATCCTCTGTGATTTTGTGATCTGGCCATCCCCATTGCTTTCAGGAGTGCAGTTCCGTATTCACATCTGTTGGAAGCCCTGG